GATCCCGACCATGAAAGCCTTCGTGAATTGGCATTAACTTGGCAGGAAAATGACAATCATAGTTGGGGTGGTAAATGTTCAGACGGTGAACAGATCATTTAAATGCAGAATTGGCAACTGAAGGCATGACAGAAACTTGCAGACTTGATAATAGTATGTGCAAGCTTATATTGAAGAAAGCTCTATCAAACTGAATTTTTCTTAGCCTTAATTTACTACCTCTGAAGAGTACATAGAGGTTATGCTCAATGACAATTTGCGCTAATAAGAGAAACTGTGTTTCCGTACAGAATATTTTTCTGTTACGTCCTGAGAAAAGGATAACTTGTAATAGCACTTCAGTGCAGATTTTCATGTAATTTCATTTTTATGCTTTTATGATACTTGCAATAAGTATGTAATAAATTCTTGCTTTGATTGGTAGTCCTGTTAATAAACCTGCCTTCCTCTCTGTTTTGTATTAAAGATTGTTCTTAACATGGTTGTTCATTCTTCTATTCATTCTAGTCCTTCTTTGATCATTGCAGGCAGTTGCCTGAGTTCATACTCTTACATCTGTAGTCAGGAAATGCTGGTAATTCAGGGCAATAAACCTAGAATTTAGTAGATTTATTCTCTTTTTTAAATAAACCTATTAACCTCCTCCATCAATGGCTTTGTTCTGGTGTTAATGGACTGGATCAAGACTGATCTTCCTTGGAATAGACCAATTGGAATTAGTGGCTCTTAAGTTAGTCATAACTACCTTAAGTCTGATTAAATATGAAAAGCTGTTCCAGAAACCTTCAGAGAGAGAGAGAGAGAAGAAAAAAAGATACATTCTTCATTGGTATAGATACAGAGATGATATTTGTGTTTGTTCCATTGACCAAGGCTAGGTGTTATAGACATGTGAACCAGCAGGAAGTCAGATAAAAATCCAAGTAATTTTACAAGATGAGAGCGTTCAACATGTATCACTGGCAGAATTGTTCAGTAGTTGCCCATATCATCTGTTGCACAGATGTATGGTAAAGATATATCTAGAATTATTGCCCCAGGACTATGGAAGATGAGTAATCATTGCTCATTATGCTGTAGTGCAAGAATCTCAGCCAAATGGACCCTATATAGTAATGTATATATGTCTCCCTTTTACAGCATATGATCTTTTGCTTTTTCCTTTTGCCTATATTTTATGCAGCATAATCAAAGAGGATGAGTCAGCAGTAAGGCCAACTTGCTGCTCATCTTAATGTAACCATTAACAGATTATCTGGATTATCTGTCATTATTTCTAGTGGTTTTGAATATTGAGAGGGAGCTGCAGTTAAATGTCAATCAATCTGGTGGCAGCCAATTGTACCCTCTACTTCAGATTCTTTTCCCGCCTTTTTTTACAGTCAGTCAGGGTTCAAGTAATGCTCTCTTAGAGTGTGGGTTGTAGAGTGTCAGATTAAGACTGTGTGTGTGTTCTGTTAGCAGTGTAACCAGTCAGTCCATAATGAAGCAAATTAAGCAGTTAAGCTCGGTAATTCAACAAGTTAACATTTCCACAGAATATGATGTTTGTTTTTATACAAGAAGAACTGTAAAATGAAATGTATTCTTATTCATACCCAGGTCTTAAGTGAATGCATTGAAGCAAATAAGTAACCACTGAGGTAAACTATCAAATACGGAGTGGTCTGTGAAGGGAGACTGTAATTCAGTCTGCCTTGTAGGTTCCTGCCAGAATCATTTTTATCTGCTGCTTAAGGAAGGAGAAGAAGAAAATGATGATGATGATTGGCCACATTCAACAATTTCCTCACAAACTCTTCCAAGCCACCCATTTGATGAAGCTAGCAAATCTCTATAACTTAATTAGTTCTGTATTATGAGATCCTTTCTGCATTTGCGGGTGTGGTAAATCACCTACTTTTACTGCATGTTTCAAACTGGAAAACAGCGCAAGACAATGTATGGAATTTTTCATGCACCCAGCGAATGGTAAATTATAAGCGTCTGCAGTCAGACTGTGGAGCCTGGCCTTATTGGCCACCGCCTTAAACCACTAGGTTGTGTCAAACAGTAAGACCCTATTCCTACCCTTAGGTTTTCTTTCCCAACAGCAGTATCATTTCCTCCTTGCTAGAAGAGGAAGTGATTCTAAGCTCTGTTATTCTTTAAGAAACAAACAAACTGTAAAAGAAATCTTTTTCTTTTTGTTTCCATAGAGCTTGCAGATGCTGCCTCAACAGCGAAAAGCCATTGCAAAATTTAAAGAGCCAAGTGATGCTTTAAGGTTTCAACAAAAATTTCACAGGTAAATATTGATCCAAATGCATGCATTTTCCTTTATTTAAACATCTTTGGACTCTCTTTTTCCCCTAGAACCTTCTTGAGTGGTGACTGAACCTCAAGAGGGAATTATTTATTCTAAACTGCTTCTAACGTAATAGTGTTGTTCTAATAAACCATGGTTGATCGGACTGAGAAGAAGCCTGTCACACACACACCCCAGTTCCCCTGTTTGTTTTTCTACACACCCAGGTTCCCTTTTGGTCGTGACATGTACTTTTCACTCTTTTTCGCTGCCACCAGAGGATATGTTCCTCTCTGTACCAAATATGACTATTAGATTGGTGTCATTCATTCATTCATTCATTCATTCATTCATTCATTCATTCATTCATTCATTCATTCATTCATTCATTTATTTATTTATTTATTTAACTTAGATGCTGCCCACACTACCCGAAGGTCTCTGGGCAGCTTACAACATTTAAAATACAATGAAAAGGCAAAATAATTAAAATGCAATTAAAAATATATACTCTAAAAATTGCCATCGGACCCATATAACATTGTTTATGCGTTTGTAGGTAAATTATATACAGAAAATCAATTGTGGTATTTTATTATTCATTCAATAAATGTTGCTTTGGTAACATTTATGTTTGCTTATGTAGATTCACTTTAATCAAGGTATTTATATATCCAACTCTTTATTTATTTCTTAGCACTTTTAACTCTCTCCAATTTTAGCTACATAAACTTTCCAAGACTTGTCCTTTTCTTATCTTTATCTCTCTATTACTCTTATCTCTAACACAACCATGGCCCTAACTGCCTAAACTAACTCCTCACTAGTTCAAACTGATTATAACTGTCTTTCTGTCCTTTTATTATCCTGGCTCCGCCCTCCTGTACTGTCATTGGTTATCACATCAGTGTTCTACTATGATGGACAGGCTAAGTATTTAGACTGTCCGTCACAAAGCCTTATCCCCATGTGTTCTCTCCCCACTGTCCATTTTCCTTTTGTGTGACTGTCTTTTAGGATTGATAACCTGGCTCTCTAACCTTCAGTTTCTTGTTACAAGGAATCCAGGAATCCGTGCTTTCAGCTTACAAATCAGGATACTAAACCAGGTTTATTTTAGTTTCCTGCTTTGTAAGTAACATGTAAACCACAGTTTTCCCATTGACATGTCACAAAAAACTGGTTTAACAAGCACACATACTGGGGTTGTTAGGTGCATGTGACATTGCAGTTAGGAGGTGGCATGTGTCTGTTAGTCCAGTAAACTGTATCTGAACCAAATCTTAAGACTCTTCATAGAAATCTGTGGTAAGGAAACTTCCTTAAAGCACTTACATATGTCAGTGCTATTTGTAAAACAAGTATGTCATGACCATTATGTGTTAACCTTATTGCAGGCATATGATAGATCTGTCCCACATCAACGTGGCACTGATAGTAGAGTGACCTGCTGAGTACAACTGGCCCATATACTACAAGTAGCATGCTCTGGAGGAAGTCGCGAGGGTGGGATCTGCCTGTGATCTCCACTGCCAGTTCGAGGGATCTCTTTGAAACTTCAGACTACCCTGTGGCACTTCAGATAGCAACAGCATTGCAGCATTGGAAGTTGAATTTTCAAGGATGCAGAGGGATTTATCTTGAATTTATTGTACTGTGTTGAACACACGGAACTACAAAATCTTGTCCGCAAAACTACACACAGATATCCTTCAAGAGATGTAATGTGTGATCACAGTGATTCAGATTGAAAGAACACTAACGTCGAGATTTATATATATATATATTTCTTCATAGCAAAGAATATTTGATAATGGTTGCTCTTATCTTCAGTGGGGTGTGTTGAAATACGAAGGCACCCATGTCTACTTTTTGTAGTTAAGCCGATAGGTGCATATAATATAGAATAAGATACAGATATTTTGTCAAGAGGCTTTGGAGCATCTTAAAAGCTGTTACTCATAGTGGGTCAAATGCAGTTCTTTGCAATGTTGTGTCCTAGGTATACTCTCAATTGTTTCATTTCCAATGTGACTTTGTAGGAATAACCTCACCATTTTGCCCTCTTGGCTTAATGGATATTTACACCTTTGCATAGTCTCCTAATATATGGGGGCTTTTAGATTTCCTTTAATATGCCTTTTATTATGTCTCCACTTTCTTTCAAGGATGCTTGCAAGGTGCTTGGCCATCTTTGAGAAATGAACCTATAAATGTTTATGTTGATTATAACATGAATGGTAGCACACAAGGAAACCATGTCCATTCCTGACAGGTTGGTCTTGTGAAATATACCACAGATACTGAATTTGCTTCCTCTTCTTTCTTCCCTTTGTGTTTTTCTCTGTCTTACAATTTTCAGTAAAGACTGCAGAAGGGCAGAGGTATAGACTCTAGCATTCTAAGGGACATTGAAGTGATTTTTCTTCCCTGAGACATGGAAGTGGTTTAGGCAATTATGTTCAGACTTGAAGCAAAACTCTGTTTTGTTGAAAGTAGCATTATCCCGTATCGTGTCAGTAACTGTCAAAAGAAGGCATCCTTTTTACCCAAAAGTTCTTGATGCCCAGGTTTTATTTGGGATGAAAAGGGGTTTTTCGTTAATTACTTCTAGAGGAACATTTTGATGCTAATGTATATATCAGTCAGTCAACATTGTGACTACAGATAAGAAGCGTTAATTGAGAAAGGGATTGGAAAGCTCTTTTTAAAATTTTTGAATAGAGGCTGAAGAACAGGGAGTGGAAGATTGTTCTTTAAGGCCTTCATTCTTAAATATTGGGGTTTGGTTATTTAAACTCCAGCTCTATAAGCTTTTTAAAATCTCATAATCATTTTAAGACACAACTGTAAGAATAAAAAAATTACACTGTAAATACAGTGTTGTCCTTTTTTAAAGGCAGAATTGTTTTGTTTTCCCACTAGAATTATTGCAGAAATAGTTTAATGGATGGGTCATGGTAAAGGTATAGTCATTTTATATATGTTTTTAAAGGGTAGCTAAGAAGCGCCATCTTGATCTTTGTAGAATGCTTTACATAAATGTAAGTATAGAACAAGGCAGTGAAGATGTGTTTCGCCACCCTTTATTTATAGTGGTTGGCAATGCATTTGGGATTTTGGTCCATTGTGGAATATTTTTTGTTTGAGTTTTGTGCAGGATTGCTTGAAAAGCTTGTCACTGTCAAGTTCAAAACATTAGATTGCCACACACGACTGAGTGGATCATGGCCATCTTCAAGAGCCTTGTTCCTTCTGCAGAGACTAAGGTGTCCTTTTGGGGATTACTTCCTTAGTTCTGTATTTCAGCTACAGTTAGTAAAAATGGAGATTTAAAATAGATTGGTCACAGTGATGGCAGAACTGCATGGATGTACAAAACATGAGAGAGCTGGGCTCTGTTGTAAGCTTTATCGGTGTGCTGTTTCTAAAAGTGAGAATACTTGTCAGAAGAAACAAAGCCTAAATATTTAATGCCACTGTTTAAACAAGCTTTTTAACTCCACGGTTCAAATCCTGATGTTGGTAGGCCTTTGATTTAGAATAGATGGTGTTTAATCAGCTAAGGGAATTGTGAGGTTTTTGTTATTTAAAACCTCTGTCTTTGAGAAATAGGCATAGAGTGGCATTTAAGGGACTGATGTGCACTTTCATGCAGTCTGTACCTTTGACTGACTCTATGGCCTGAATCCAGTTGTTAGTCTTAGCTAGAGAAGATGTGTCGAGTCAGTGTGCCTTGGATAAGTGTTTATTTATCAAAGTGCCATCAATTCGGTGGATCGATTCTAGATGAGACTGACTGTCGGATTTGGACTTATCTGTTAAAGATGATGGTGTGTGTCTTGCATGCATGTATCTCATAGGCTCACAACTTCAACTCTGGAACCGATTTATTTTGGTTACAGGAAGGATGGGAGCCCCTAGTACTTTGATCTCTTTCCTTCAGGAGGAAATGTACGACCTGGGTGGCAGGCACCCAGCCTCTTGGTTGTGTTCATAAGGTATTGTAGTATGAATGACTGATGGTACGTTAGAACAGAGTTTATTAGTAGGATTGCAGTAAGGCTCTTCTCAATGTAGAGATGCCACTCCAAAAAAAGAAAAGAAAAGAAAAATCACAGTGAATATAGGGGGTCTTGACTTTACTTAGTATAGTGCTTCATGGCCTATCACCACTTAATTTTTGTAGAAGATCTGTTGCAACCATTATCTTGTTCTTTCTGTATCATGCGTTGAGAGTAAGATGCAAAGTACGGGACTTGCATTTAATGTATTATGTAAATATTGGACTTTTAAACAAAATTTAAATGAAGCTGTTCACATGCTTTACAATTCAGCTACATTAATGCTTATTTGCGGGGGGTGGGTGGGTTGTTTTGTCTTATCAAAGTTGAATGGGAGAAGTTCCATAAATGTTCATCTTTTTGTGTAACTCTTCAATTTTTTTATAAAGATGCTAGTAAGTCAATACATGTATCCGGACCTGTGTATTATTTGTTCATAAGGCTTCAGAAGCTTAAACGTGGTATGAACATTTATCTAGTGACTACTGCAGGTAGAAGCCTTTTTCTCCTCTCTTAGAGGTCTTTCATTTCACTTTGCAACATTTCCTATAAAACTTCAACTTTTCATGTCCTTGCCAATGGAAAAGTGCAGCTAAGTTATGTGTAGTCATCAGTGACTAATGACTTGATAGTTAACTGTTAAAAGGGCACTGCAGTATCCATTTGTTTTGGGTTTTTTTTTTGTTTTTTGCTTTTTTTAACATTTGCACTGAGGAGTTTTTTTTTAGGCTGGATAGAACTTTGGTAATCTTATTTCATGAGCTATGTAGACTATTCAGATAACACTGTTTCTATAACAGCTTGGGAAATGAAGATGGGTTCCTTCATATTTATGGTTCAGACTGACATGGAAATTTCCCTATTTTGACGTTCTCTGTATCAGTATTTTCTTTGATATCCTTTTAATCTATCTAGCTTTATTTAGAATATTGAGAATAAAGAAAAGAGACTAATCTCAAGTGAACTATAAATATCAGAAATGTTGCACACATTTATATTTCTTAACACTCGCACTTAAGCCTAGAAAGGTAGACGGAATGTTAAGTTAAACTGGCTAGAGAAGTATCTATGGGGAAATAATGCGGCTGTGGATATACAACCACTCTCACAACACGAGGGCTATTCTAACACCCCTCTGACCAAAACAAAGCAAAAACTGGCCCGCAGATTGTAATACTTGGGTGCTAGAATAAATGCTGCAAAAATACATGGCAAGAACTCAGGAATTAAGGTGAGGTTATTACTGTGGATGGGCAAAGTGCACTCACCCCCACCCCTGATATTGTTGAACTGCAACTCCACGCGTTTTTCACCATTGACTGTGCTGGCCAGGAGTGATGGGGGTTGCAGGCCAACAACCTCTGGGCGGAGGGGGGGAGCACCCTTTCCCTTCATTCTTCCTTGATTACGTGTTCCTATAAATGTGCTTCATATCGTAAAATCAGGAAAGGATCGTTCTCTTTTGGACCGCTGATTTTATGTGGAGCTATTATTTCTGCCACCAAGGAGAATGTATCCTGAAAGTATTAACCACAGAAGAAGTGAAGGTCCTCTTGTGATAAATGTTGCTATAAGAAGTGATACAGGAATTTGCTTTTTGCAGGCCTCTTGTCCTTGACTGGTAGCTTTTGTCTCCAGCGAATAGGGATCCAGAGAGCTAGTTTTACAAAGGCCTAGCCTGCCAGCTGATGTCAGGAATTCAGATTAAAGATTGCATATGCAGGATGCACTTTGGATATACAGAATATTTTAGCACTTTGTTTTCTAATCTGCCATTCCAGTTTTATGCACTTCTACCTATGCCTTGATAGTTTTAACTGCCTGCACTTTACAAAACTTTTTTCTATATAATTCTTAATGTTAGGAAAAAATCTAAGATGGCTTTTCTGGATAGGAGCATAAGTCCTATGGTCACACTTTCCATTGGTCTTTCACTGTGTCTGCTTTTACTTGAGGGTTTAGTCTAATATTACTGATGGGCAGTACCCCCCCCTTTTGATCACCACCTTATAAACTTTCTTACTATATTAACTTTATTTTGCAGCGACCATTTTGGACAAAAGGAAGGGTTGGAGAAACATTTTAAATGCCGCTGGGAGGTGCAGCTAGATTTTAAAATCTAGTTTTGAAGCCATAGGCACTTCGAAATTCTCAGCTTGTTAGGGTTTGCCTGTAGAATGTTCTTTTAGGCTCACCATTACTAACAAGATGAATTTTACAATATCAGTATAATGAAAGGAATATTGCAAAAATATTAAATCCTAAGGATTTTGTGTAAGGTTTTTTTAAATAACCTGTTTATTTTTAATCAAACACATTTGACAGTCTATTATATGAAAGCCTGGCAAGGGGAGGCTTATGTGTAGACCACTGATTCATATTGAATCTCATGTATACCATATTCTGGTATAGATATGGTTGGGAAGGATCATTTTTTTATTTTGTGGTATTCAAGGGATAGATTCCCTACTTCCATTCCCTTCTTTGGTTTTCAGCACTCCTTCATACATGACATGACAGTTCTGGTGATAATGTCAGCTCTTTAAAAAAACAAATATTTTTCCTTGTTGCTATTGAGTTTGATGTAAATCTTGCAAAAATCAGTTGATATGAAATGAAGCAAGTTAACACTTGCTTATTTTCCCCCCAGAAGGTCTTTGTTGAACATCGTTAGCACACGATCACAAAGTGGGAAGCTAGATTCCCTAAGATCTAGCACAATCGTAAATGGGCTGTCCGTTAGGGTATTGCTTTCATAAGGTTTTGTAGAAGTATTATTTGTTCATTGAAGAAATCACTGTTCACTTCGTAAAAAAAAGCTGTATCACTATATTTATGTGATCATTTATATAATTAACTCATATCTTTTGTGGTCATATTTTTCTCTCCTGCTTCTATGTAAATGGAAATATTTCTTGATTTTCTGTAATCAGATAATTTCCCTTGCAGGTAAAGGACAACAGGAGCAGCCTTCCGGTCCCTCCTCAGATTCTGACCTAGAAATAATCCACTTCTTTTTACAGGTGCAGCAGATGCATAAAATAAGTTCCTTTACAATGACTCCTGGGTTTTCATATTACGTGCAGTTCTACCACTGCTTAACATTTAGAGTTTCTCAACACTTTTCAGTTGACACAATCCCTTGTGGTCCCCCATTTAGTCACTCTTATTACCCGTCCTGTGTGATAAAGCAAACTTTGTGAGACCCTGATAGAGAGGGTTCATCAAGGCCATCTAGCTAGTCAAGTTTCCTAAGACTCGGAGGCTTTTATGAGCCACTGCTGAACTGGTTCCTAAAAGCCTCAGAGTTTCTGAACAAGGTAACAGTTTACCTCTTCCACAGCTCTTCCTATTTAGGAGCCCAGTAGAGACCAGTTGCTGATCCCATGAAGTTCTCCGTTAGCCACTGTGGTTCTAGGAAAATTTCAGTGTAAGGTTTTCTGGTACCTTTATGGTGACTGCTCCCCTCTTACACCCTCTGATAGCTGATGCTTTTCTCATAAGCACTGGAGGCCTGGGGAGCTTAGAGGGTCTCTTATTAAAGTGAATGTTCCAGCGGTGACTTAGTAAAACAAGGAAGAGGGAAGCAGAATGAGAGGTAGGTAGGTTTGCACTGGCCTCTTATCAGAACCACCCCACTTCTTGTTCATGATACTTGGAGCAATGAGAACAGCATGCTTGGGCTCTGGCGTTTATCAGATCAGAACATTGTTGGCTTGCAGTTTTATTGTCATCTAAGGCAGTGGTCTCCAACCTTGGACCTCCAGATGTTCTTGGACTACAATTCCCAAAAGCCTTCACCACCACCTCTGCTGACCCATATTTCTGGAAGTTGAAGTCCAAGAACATCTGGACGCCTAAGGTTGGGGACCACTGGTCTAAGGGATCCACTTTCAAATCTTGGCATGGGACAGAAAGCCTCTGAGATGTGCATGCCCTGTTTGGTTGCAGGATTGGTGGATAGCAACCTGGTTAAGCCTGTCTGGCACAGGTTTCCAGTTTTGCTGGTCTGTGAATCATTGTTGAATCATAGCTTCAGTATCCGTTGGTCTGTTTCACTAATCAGGCACTCAGGCTCAATATTTTAGAATAGATGAGCAGTTTCTACATCCTTTTGGACAATGGTATGAGTACTCACAAATGCTTAAGATGCCGCTGAAATGTAACTAATGTGTTTTCCTTGCAGGACTACTCTTTTTAGGCGTGATGTGCAGTCTAAAGAACTCAAAAGGATGCCCTTTAACCGTACATTTCTTTATTCATACAGGAAGGTGGTCTTCATGGCAGTTTCCAGAGAACATAGCATTATTAACAAGCCCTTTCTTATCCTCCTCTCTGTTTTTTTGCAGGCTCACCTAGTTCTCATTGAATTCAGGGGCAGTAATTGCGCTGTAAACCTCTCATGTAGCGATAGTGTCAGTCTTTCAATTCCCTTATTGTTCTTATTGAGTGTGATCCTTCCTAACCTGTAACTTCGTGAAATAACTGTATGCAGTTGAGTACAATCGACAATGCCGTTCAGGCCTGTTACTGTTCTAACCTGGACTGTGAAACTTGTGCTTATTAGAATAACTAGAAGAGACAGTTATACGATGATATTGACTCCATTGGGGGTTGCTTTGTGTCTCTCACAGCTCATTTTCTTAAACGTGGTATGTGTGTATTTTTATAATACATTTCTCCTGCTTTCCATTAGAATTTTTCTCTGGGATTTGTTGATGTGATACAAGTGTAGAAATGAATTCACAGTAGCCGTAGGTTTAAAAAAAAATGTAATGATGGATTTTAACAGTCACACATTTTAAATGGCTTTGAATGTTATTCACTTAAACATAACAATTGTAAATGAAATGTATAAATAAAAATGCTTTTATTTTTGCACCTTGGTTTGTATCATTTCATCAGCACTTTTCAGAAACCGTTTTTTTAACACCCTAATATATTCTGTGCAATTCTTTTCCTGCTGTGTACAGTACTAAGAAGGTGGGGGATCTTATATTGCTTTTTCCTCACAGAAATCTTGTTCATTAGGAAAATGATTTTTGACTGAATAAAGCAAAGTGAAAAGCAAGTGTGCTGTGTTTATACACCACCCCACCATAGTGCTTAAAGCACTCCCCGCTACACATAGGCCCACTAGCAAGCTGGGCACTCAAACTACCAACCTCAGATGGATGGAAGGTTGAGTGAACCTCAAGCCATCTACCTGAGCCCAGGATCAAACTCAGGTCATGAGCAGAGTCTTCACTCCAGTACTGCAGTTTAGCCACTGTACCACAAGAACAGGAAAGGGAATCGGGCTTTTCTGTGTTGAAACGCAAGATTCTCTCCATTCGCTCTGCATTGGATTTCATTAGACAGTAATGTCCTCAAAGCTAGATCTAGAAGACAGTGTTCTGTAGCATAAAGGTGTGCAACTCTAGCCCTCCAGATATCTTGCAGTTTCCTCTTCCACCAGCCTTGGCCATAATCTCCACTGATGAAGGATGAGAGGAGTTGCAATCCACAAAAAGCCCACAAATTGCCTGCTTTAGATATTAGCAAGAACAATGTTGTGTTTAAGGTAGAGTTCACAGGACCACAGATTTGCTGGAAAATACTATTCTTAGAAAACATTTATGCTTGATTCTAAAACTATATATAGTATATGCTGTGTCTTCATATGAAGGCTTTGTATTCTATCTGACCACCTCACTCTTTCAAGCAGGCCCTATTTAGTTCATTCTCTCCCCCTGCCCTTTGAAGCTATTGAGGAGTCCTTAATTCCTCATTTAAAGGTAAAGGTTCCCCTTGACATTTAGTCCAGTCGTGTCCAACTCTAGGGACACTCATCCCCGTCTCCAAGCTGTAGAGCCAGCGTTTGTCCATAGTTTCCGTGGTCACGTGGCCAGCGCGCCTAGACACAAGGTAGGAGCCACTAAATGCTGTCGACCTTGAGGATTCTGCACCGCAAGGGACTGTTACTCTAACCAGGCACACATCTCTTCTTGGACTTTACCTCTCAAGGGACTGTTACTCTAACCAGGCACACAGACCAGAGGTTCCCAAACTTGTGGCCCCATCTCTTCTTGGACTTTACCTCCCAGGAGCTTCTGGGGATTGTGATCCAAGACTATTTGGGATCTCACACTTAATCTGATCTTTAGCCTATGTACTGTGGCAAAAGCAGAAATCCCTTTGCTCAATCTGTCTGCCTCTCCAGCGTAATTCTTAAAAAGTGGCAGTGACAACATGCTTAAAAGGTATGTAATGTAATGAGCGAGATCCCATGTAACACAGTGTCTAAAATGTTGAGACGGACTGGGAGAGATCTAGTCGGTCTCTGGGTAGCAGCCAGTTACTTTCTGGGCTCACGTCCAGCCCTAAAGACAGGGGCTTACATGAGTGGTAAAGCAGCTATTGCCCCTCATGATGATGTGGCTTCCCCCCTTCTTCCCAGGCTTTCCTGGCTGCTGAAATACCTTTCTTTATCAGATTCCATAGCTGTATGCTATTCTCAGAGAGCCTTGTGGATTAGCTTCACCCTCTTCTACCCACTTGCTTTGTAGCCTAATATATATTCTTTGAACTCTGCCCCCCCCCACACACACACACTTCCAATGTAATTGGACTTTCCAGAGCCTCCAGACTCCATTCTTCCTTAAAGATAGTGAGACCATTTCCACCTGAGACCAACTTGGGTCTCTTATAGTGATTAAGAGATCTGTCCAACCCTAACCCTTCACTCTGGCTTATCCTCAGTTGTGTTTTTCCACTCCTCCTTACTCCAGCAACACTCCTTGTTTTATCTAAGTGCCTCCACTAGGTGGAGAGATTGTACTATCAAAACTGATCATTGGAAGTAGGCTCCTGGTAAACTTTATAGCAGAATACTTTCGGAGGAAATGAACAGCTGCAAATCTCTCTCCTTCAAATTAACATCTACTTCAACATCCTTCAATCAGCTCTTCTCCCTCTGGAAAGGAACATGTCCCTGTTCTGTCTCGGAAATGAACTAAAATGCTTCCAGTTTTCAATCACTCTCTGATTTTCCTTCCTCGCCACCTTTAACAGAACAGCGCGAATTAAAGCCTAGGGCTTTGGCAGCTAGACATTTATACCAAGGATCATAGCAAGGAAAGGACATTTAGACAAGGTTAATCGGCTGTGGAAGGGACGTGGTGGCGCTGCGGGCTAAACCGCAGAAGCCTGTGCTGCAGAAGACCAAGCAGTCGTAAGATCGAATCCACGCGACGGAGTGAGCGCCCATCGCTTGTCCCAGCTCCCGCCAACTTAGCGGTTCGAAAGCATGCAAATGCGAGTAGATAAATAGGGACCACCTCGGTGGGAAGGTAACAGCGTTCCGTGTCTAAGTCGCACTGGCCATGTGACCATGGAAGATTGTCTTCGGACAAAACACTGGCTCTATGGCTTGGAAACGCGGATGAGCACCGCCCCCTAGAGTCGAACACGACTGGACAAAAATTGTCAAGGGGAACCTTTACCTTTTACCTTTTTAATCGGCTGTGGAGCTAGAGGATGGGAGGTCGGTTCCCCTCTGTGC